CGCATCGCGGGCCTCGGAGCTCTCGACCTCACCGCCGTGTGCCCGCGAACCGTCAGGGCTTGGCTCATGAGGGCCATCACTGCTACTCTCTGGGGTACGGTTGCTGAGCGCCAAGGATTGCCCGAGCTTGCGAATGGTTGCTTGCTCGAGCCTGTGCGCAAGGTTCTTCGCAGCTCTAAGTTCTCGTTTCACGAGCGAGGCTATCTGAACTCTGTGACCAGCGGAGGCCAATGGCCGCAACATAGGCAGTGGACCGCCAAACTGTCCGATTCGCCTGTGTGCAAGCTCTGCCTGGGCAGTCCTGGTACGTTGCTGCACAGACACGCTGGGTGCCCAAGGCACTACGAGGTCTCCTGACGTGGCCCCTCCCGAGTTTCTCACCAATTTCGCCAGGGCCAATAACGAACCTCTTCCCGTGCTCCCTCTCTCCCCCTCCAGTAGCCTGCCCGAGAGATGGTTCGGAGGCCCCCTGGAGTTTTCGGGACATGCTTTTTCTCGACGGCAGCTGGTATGACCAGGATCTGCCGCCGCATGTTCAAGCGGTCGCCTGGGCCGCCGTCGCCATCACCCCGACCTATCCTTTTCGCACCCTAGCTGTTCTCGTTGGTTGTCTCGCTGACCCGTGCAGAGATGTTGATGCCGCCGAGCTAGTGGCGTTGCCACGAGGGCTTCAGCATGCCCTACCAGGCACCACCTTCTATAGTGATTCGTCGTACGTCGTCGACGGCCTGTGCGAGCGAGGCCAGGTCGCCCGCTGCTCTGCCGCCAGCGCTTGGGCAGATCTCTGGGCTCAGGTCTGGGAGCGCGTGCAAGATCGGGGGGGGGGGCTCGAGCACGTGCACGTGCGCAAGGTCATTGGGCATAGCACGGAAACGCGCGCGCAGCTTGGTGTCACCACCCGTCCCGAGAAAGTTGGCAACGACTTGGCCGACGACTGGGCCCAGTGGATGGCCCGACGCGCGCGACTGCCCGAGCCTCTGCGCACCGCGCGCCGTGCCGCGTTGCTTGCAGCTTCCAACTGGGCCGAGTGGGTCGCCAGGCTCGGCCCGCACACGACTCCTCTTGATCTTCTGCACGTCGGTGTCAAGCAGCGCAGCTCGAAGCCCCACGAGCCTACGCCGGCTGTGCTGCCGCCGCCGCCCTCTCGCACGCCCCGCGCGCTCGCTCGAGCAGGTTCGGCCGCTGTGCGTGTCCCCCTGCCTGGCGAGCAGCGCCACGTCGTTCACCCGCTTCGGCTCTCGGGGGGGAAGCGGGTCGCGGTGCGTGCGCGATGTGGGCTGGCGGCTGGGGGGGGCGGGCGAAGGTTTCGGACAAGTAAGGCGAGACCTGCCTCGGGCAGCCTACGCCTGGCACTCACGGTGCGCGTGTGCTGGCCAGCCTTGCTGCCACACCCGCCCGATACGCATTGAATAAGCAATAGTCTTTTCTCGCTCAGCCCTCTCGGACTGCCGAAATCCTGAGGGCTGGTGGGACTCACAAATAGCTCGTTGTGATTTCTGTGGCCCCTTCGGGTGCCCTTTTGGGGGTCTCCCGGGGGGCGTTCCGCGTGGGAAAATACAGCAGGTTCGGCTGCCGAGGATCACTTATCCTCGGCAACGATATTCCTTAGGGTTTCAAGGAACTGTGGGCTTTGATTGCAACTCGGTGCCTGGTCGAGTCGGCGGCGCCGCCCGCCTCTGGGAGCTTCCCATGCGGTGGCGAAAGCGGCACGAGGCGCGAAAGACTTCATCTTGCGCTGGGGCTGGGCCCATGAGGAGGAGGATCGGAAGACGAGGAGGAGGAGGAGGAGGAGGATCCTATCCTATCCTCCCCCATTGCGTCCCCTGCTCGCCTTCATGTGAACTACACCTCTGCTGGCTGCAGCTGGGCCCTATGGTCGCGGGGTGCTAGCGGCCACATAGACGTCATGCCCCTGGACCGCTGTCTCCCAGCGTGCGAAACGTCACAAAGTGAGAGAGGCACGGCGGAGCGCTGGCACCCATACTGCCGCTGGATGGCCACGGGGCACTCAGCCCCACCATCTCTGGACAGCGGGGCACTCTGATCAGTATCTGAGTCGCCCTCAATCCCGAATTCGCCAACGCTCCAAACTCAAAATGTGCCTCCAAAAGATTCCCGACAGACATCATCGGATCTCGTCGTCAGATCGAAAGTAGAAAGAGAAGAGGAAACAGGGAAGGTCGTCAGAGGAGAAGAGGGAGTGGAAAAGGGGTGGGCCTGCTGGGCGGCGGCAGCAGGCAGCACAGGCGGCCTCAAGCCTCCGCGTTCGGGGCGGTGAACTCGCCCATCTCGACCAACGAACTCACCACCGAGCGGACGTTGGGGTTCCGTGACGGGGCCCCCGAGCGCAGTTCCACCTTCGGTTTCATACCAATGGCGCCCATCACTTCCATCTGCACCGCTCGGAGCTCTGGCACGACCATCACATTGATTCTCCAGAAGTCCTCGCTCCACTGCTTCTGTCGGTGGCATTTCCGTTGGAGGCACGTCAAGACTTGGCCTGTCACAGAGCTGCACTTCTCGTGGTACACTAGCAGGGTGGCCTTCTTCTCCTTGGGAACGCTCTCGTCCTTCGCGATCTGCGAGATCAAAGAAATCCAGCAGCGTTCGTGTGTCGGCATCATCGACTTGATGACGTCGAAATCCTTCTGTTCCTTCAGCTGTTTGCGCTCCTTGTCGTATTTCTGGCCAACCTCTTGGAGCGCCCTCAGGTATGGGTGATCCCCTGTCACCAGCGCGGTGGTCTCCAAGCAGCCCTGAAGGCGGCGCATGTTCACGTCCAAGCCCACCACCGTTTTGGCTGTCGCCACGCACAGCTTCCTGTACTGCTCGTCTGAGCCCGTCTCGCCTACCGCTCTGCGCTTGGTCGCTGTGGGTGTTCCGCTCGTCAGAGCGACTGCCAGTCTCTCCATCTTCTTGGCCAAGAAAGTGTTCGCGAACGTGTAAGTGGGCGTCGGAAAGAGTAGCAAACGACTGGTCGCAAAATGCGCACTGCAAAGCCACGGGCGTCTCCAGAGCCGAAGGAAGGCCAGACGGAGGACCAGGTCGCCGGGCACATCTGGGCGGGTGTTTGCGTCCACGGGCAACACAGTGCAGTCGAGCGTTCGCCACCGTCGCAAAAATTCGAGAGCACCAGGGACATTGATTGGTAAGAGGCGCCCGACGATAATCATTACAAACTCCGTGGGCTCTATACTCATGTACTCGCAGCTGTTTCATCGTGGAAACGACCGAGTGCACAACACACCATTCAGGGAATGTTCACATTTGTAGATGTCAGACGCGTAGGGCAAGGCGGGCAGGTAGGTCTCCTGTGGCTCCCCATACGTCAGCAGGTCTTTCGGGGGATCGAACTTGGCAGGCTCCTCAAACAAGGCAAACCAACCTCGAGCTCTAAGGGCTTCCCGTGCGGGTCTGTGATGGCGTCCTAGTTCATTCAAGTCCTCCCCGAATTGCTTCAACCAGGGATTCGCTTGGTGGTGAGGTTTACCCCGTCGTGCTAGTTGGCTTTGTCCCTGGATCTCTCCCGTCAGAACTCCCAATAAGACTTTATGGTCCCGCGGAAATCTGGAAATGTGATGCAGCCATCGAAGCCGCCTGTACCTCAGGTTACTCTGGGTCGTGGGAATCCGAAGACGTCGACGTACTTCATGATTTGGCAGAGTTCGACAGAACGTGACGGCCCCCTCCGTGTCAGTGTGCTTGGTCGTGCCCTCCCCCATCAGTAGTACACGTGCGTGCTGTGCAAGAAACCCATCTACGTGCGCAGCAGCATGATCAGACAGAAGCCAGGTCTCCCCTCCAGACAAGAACGTGTTGACGACCATTCCCTGGAAGACGGTTCGCTTGACCTTCCGAGGGGCACGACTGGTCCAGAATTTCCCCATAGCGTTCCACCCCAGCCTTGCGGTTTCCTGGCGTTTTTTCAGCTCCCAGGTCTCGTGCCCATCAAAATGATGCCAGGCTCCCAGATGACGAAGACAAAGTTTCGGACTGCCCTGGAACTGGAGGTCCTGCTTTTTGTAGAACTGCTGCATAGACTGATGGGAACCCTTGCCATACGCACGGAAAAGCACCTCCTTTTTGTCAGTGTTTTGTTGCAGACCAGTCGGCAAACTCACGTGTTCAGACAAGGCGCGATCCCACTCTATAATTCGAGAACTCGCCATCTGAGCATCTGCACACAGTCCGATCCGAAACATGTCATCGGCGTATGCACCGTGGCCGAAATTCACGACTGTCTGAGTGATCGGCTCACATACATGAAAAAAACTCTGGTCCTCCTCACTTTCGGTGGCGGCTATCCAACGGTCTACACACGGGTCGAGAACGTTAATGAACTTATCTGGCGCGGCAACGTCACCCTGCAAATCCCCAGGAGGAGGAGGAGGAGGAGGAGGAGGCGGAGGAGGAGGAGGAGGAGGAGGAGGAGGATCGAAGGAGGAGGAGGAGGAGGATCGAAGGAAGGCCAGTCGCGACAGTGGGGGCTCTCCCTTTCGTTGTTCGTCCCTTCCTGGGCTTTTGTGGATGCTTCTCGTCGCCAGTTCTGGGCCTTATGCAGGCCTGCGTTGGGGGGGGCTCCTTTGGGGGGGCCTCCTTTTGAGGGGGAGGAGGGGCGGGGAGGAAGAGCAAGGACCGGGGGGGAAGGAGGAAGGAAGAAAAGCGAGGGGGGGCAGATGATGAGGATGATATCGAGCTTCATTTTGATATTGTTGGTTGCTGTGGATGGTGTTGATGATGATGACGGTGGTGGAGATGCGATGGAGGATGGAAACCATGGAGGCCGTGATTATGTGCTGAACTGGGCATGATGATGGACGCTGGGG